AAGGAGACTTTTGTAATACTTTAAGCAATAAAACAATTTAAAAAATAATCTGAACAGAAACTGGTGAATATAATAAAATCAGGGGCATAGAAAGGGAGTGGACTGACTGTTCTGGGGGTGGGGTAGGGAACGGGGTTTGGGGGGTGCAGGAAGAGACTGGACAAAAATCGTGCACCTATGGATGAGGACAGTGCGAGGGGGCGGTGGTTAGGGCAAAGGTTGGGGTGGGAACCGGGTGGAGGGGAGCTATGGGGGGAAAAAGGAGGAACAACTGTAATAATCTGAACAATACAGATTTAATTTAAAAAAAGAAAAAAATACACTCTGATTTGCTGTCTTTGTTGTTAACATCTTTTAGTTCATTCTTTTTTTTTTTAATATATTTTATTGATTTTTTACAGAGAGGAAGGGAGAGAGATAGAGAGTTAGAAACATTGATGAGAGAGAAACATCGATCAGCTGCCTCCTGCACATCTCTTACTGGGGATGTGCCCGCAACCCAGGTACATGCCCTTGACCGGAATCGAACCTGGGACCTTTCAGTCCGCAGGCCGACACTCTATCCACTGAGCCAAACCGGTTTCGGCACTTTTAGTTCATTTTTATGGATGTGTGGCACTGCAATTCTCTTTCCTCCTCCTCCTCCCAGCCTGGGGAGTGCTCCAGCGCTGCCTTTACAGCCCTTCCCTGCACTCGCTCTCCTTCGTCTCACTGAGCCTCATGGCTCTACCGTCCCCGTCCAGATCCACTGACCCACTAATAACCCAAAGGCGTGTCCCTGGGGGTGTTCATTTCATGACAAAGTGTGCTGCAGCTTCATGACCTTTTCTGCTGTTGCTGTCTTCTGGTTTGTTTCCAGTTTTCATTTTTGTTTTCTTCTACAAGTGGCACTTCCATAAACATTCCTTCTTACCATGATCTGGGGCAGGTGTGCCAGCATTTCTCCAAGCATGTAAGTTGTGGTATATCCGTTATTACAGTCTTGGTCCTGGAGTTTGTTAGATTTATTCCATTGTGGTTTCATACCTGTAGGTTTGTTCTGTAGAGTCTGGCACATATTACACTTAGTAAATGTTTGTTGGGGGAGAAAAGGATATTTGTTAACTGCTGGAAGCAGGGCTGCGCCCTAGAGATCCAGGCCCAGAATACAAAACAGCTGACAACACACCTTTCCTCCTCCTTACAGCCTTTCTGTGCAGTCATAGTCAACCTTTCTTGTTTTTATATTTTAGTTGAGGCACTAAAATATATTTACTTAATTTGTTTTTTAATACTCGTTCAATAAATTCAGGATTTGTTTCTTCCCCTGTCCCTTCTCCCAGAACTCTTTCTTCTCTGCTTTCTAGACAAGGTCACCCACATGTCCTCCTAAGACATGGGCAGCATCATAAAGCTCCTTCAAGTCTGAACAAAAGGGCTCCCCGAGAAGAAGTACTGGGCGTCCCCATTTAGTGAATGTTCAGTTTTTTTGTTGAGTTGTATGAGTTCTTTATATATTTTGGGTATTAGCCCCTTATCAAAGGTGTTGTTTGTAAATATTTTGCTCTCATATGAATTTCCTTCCTGTAATATATGTTTATTTGATTAATATTTGGTTGGTTGCTATTTGTTTTATTGATGG